CCAAGATTATCTTCTGTGTCTGTGTTAATTGGTTTCCCTTTTCTTTGTTGAAGAGGGTCTGTGCAATCCTTCTGCCTAGTCCGCCATCTTGCCCCTGTCACCAGAGCTCCTTTTGAAAGCCTAGTGTTCATAATTTCTAATAGTAAGAAGTTAGAAGTAACTCAAGTACTGAGCATTTGGTAAATTATTTAATAACTTGTGGAATATGGACGTTATAATAAAATATGATGCAATCAATAAAATCAATAAAGGCTCTGTGGAGGTGCAAAAATATGTGCAGTTTTAGATGAACAAAACAATCCACAAAATATGTAGACCTTATTGCAAATATAAGAAATATGTAAGCATGTGGAAAGCAGTATGAACTAGGTTTATGGGATGATCATAGTTTATGATGGTAATTGTAAGATTTCTTCATAGGTATATTTTCTATTCAATGAGAAATAATTGCAAAGATATAAATGTTGAACCAAAACAGAGGAGAAAGCATCTACAGAAAACAACATGAAACAACTGTGAAGGGTGTGGATGGGGGAGCAATAGAGACAGGTCAACACATGGACAGAAGGAACAACCTCAGGGATTAATGGAGTTGGGAGAGTGCTCATTGACCCAAAAGAAATACCTTTGGCTGATGCCATCTCTCAGAGACATGAGTGGATACGATTGAAAGCTGGAGAATAGACAAAATGACCTTTTTGAAGTTCCTTCTGGTCCTGGAGCCTCTATGATGTCCTGCAAGCCACTGCCCTGGATTCGGGCAGGGCTTCTGAAGCAGGTCCGGCCTCTTTTCCTTTAGGCAAACCAGGCAGATGCTGTGACCCTCGATGGTGGTTTGTTGTTTGAGGCAGGCCAGAAATCCTACAAGCTGAAGCCTGTCGTGGCCGAGGTCTATGGGACTGAAGCAAGTGAGTTTTCCTGGGGACTCAGAAGCTGGCTGTGGCCTTAGCTTTGGTCTTGGGCTCTGTGGAGTCAGAGTGGATGAGCACATAGAGGCAGGGGCTGGGTTGGCATCACACTTGCAGGGAGCCAAGTTGCTGGGCTTATTGGACCAGATGAGGTTGTCCTTGATGCTGACTCTCAAGAAAGGGACTCTTTCTGAGGCAGCAGCAGGCTCCCAGCTGCTCTGCACCAGACGAAACCACCACCTTCAGTTCCTTCTCTCCACCAAGGGCTTGAGAGGGGTGGGGTGTTTTTCCTCCTCTAGTCCAGGTTAGGAGCCTTCTATGCTCTCTGCCCTTTTGCAGAGCCACAAACCCACTATTATGCTGTGGCTGTGGTGAAGAAGGATACCAACTTCCAGCTGGAACAACTCGGAGGCAAGAAGTCCTGCCACACGGGCCTCGGCAGGTCTGCCGGGTGGAACATCCCTATTGGGACACTTCGCCCATTCTTGAGGTGGAGAGGGCCACCTGCATCCCTTGAGGCTGGTAAGATGACTGGGAGATAGTGGGTGTCAGACAGGGGTCTCTACTTAATACACAGGCAGCTCTGAGGTCATATATGATAGCAAACTATCATGTGAGCATGTGGGTGAGTCCAAGGTGAAGTGATGCTAACCATCTTAAAACATGTATAGGCAGGGCCCTCTGCACCAGCATCCCTGGGGAGATGGCTGTTGAATCTTCTCTCACCAGTGTGCATTTCCCTGCACTCCCAGTGCAACTCAGAGGGTGCCTGCAGAGTGGGAGAAAGGTGCTCTCTGCCCAAGGAAGCACAGAGCTAGTTGGGGATGTAGCTGACTGGAGTCAGGGCTGGCTCTCACTTTGTGGTCCATCCACTTTTCTGTGTTAAACAGCTGTGTCCAAGTTCTTCTCCAAGAGCTGTGTTCCCTGCACAGATGGAAGACGATTCCCCAACCTGTGTGACCTGTGTGCAGGGGAAGGGCCAAATAAATGTGCCTGCTCCTCTCAGGAACCGTACTTTGGCTACTCTGGTGCATTCAGGTGAATGAGACTATCTGCTTCTCCACAGTGGCCCAAAGTGCCAAATGTCCTCAGATCAGGAGTCTCTTCTCTGGGCCCAAATAGAGCACAGCCTGTTTGCAGGAGACTCAAGAGGAGTGGTGTGGAGTGCTGTGGAGATAGGAAAACTGAGTACAAAGAGGGTGTCAACTTTGTCAGTGCACATTACCCTCCAGGTCCCCCCCACCTCAGGCCCATCTCTGGTCTCCCCACCTCTACATGAGCTGGGTGAGCAGTCCTTTCTCCATGGCTCCTTCCGTTTCCCCAGAGAACCCCAAATCAGCTCTGTCCCTGGCTTGTCCTGGACTCTTCCTGCTACTTTCAGCCCTCTCCCCACTCACAGAGGGACTAAAGGAGTCTTGCCAGGAGATGTCCAGTTCTGGGCTCCTAAGAGGGCAGGACAACCGGAGTGCCCAGGCTGTGCTGTGCCCCATCTGGGGCTCTCCCAGTGGAGGACAGGGAGCTCTGCCTGCTCCATCCTCTCCACCTTTCAGCCCCAAGCAAAGGATGACATGCCTGCTACCCCATCTTCCCATGCCACCTCTTGGGGGGGAGGCAGGAAATTTTGCAGAAAGGGAGGCCTCCCCACCTCCACACTCTCCGGGGCAAGTGAACACTCAGTCTTGTGAGAAAAAGCTACATGTCCTCCCAGTATATATTTAAAACCAGAGCCACCTGTCTAGAGACACCAAGCCTTCACACTCACACCCACTCCCACTCTAGCCCCTCAGCCTCTGTGTACAGGCTTCAAAACTCTCTTTTACATAAAAGAAAAAAGTTTTGACTTCTCAACCCTTAAAGTGAAAATTGGAGGCCTCTGGCCAGCCCCTAAGCCCTTCTTCCTTGGATTCCCCCTGTGGGAGCAGACACCTGACAGGACATGACTCCAGGGCCCCTGACCTACAGGGAGGCACAATGAAGAAGCAAGGAGCAGATGCCCTGTTTTGAGCCTTCTCATGCTTTTATTTCACAGGTGCCTGCAGGATGGGGTTGGAGAAGTGGCTTTTGTCAAGGACAGTACGGTGTTTGGTAAGAGCAGAGAAAAGAACCATGGAGACAGCCCCCTTTCATTTTATTCTATCACATGCTGAGTGATGAGCTAATTAGACTCCTCGTTCTCGGCACACTATGATCCTGATTCCCTATGGGGCACGGGTCTCATTTCATGTTACTTCACATGAAAAATTATTAGCTTTCTTTAAATCTCACATGCCCACTGCCTTCTCTTCCCCCTCACAGACGCCCCCGTCCAGGTGCTTTACATGTGTCCTGAGTTGCTTGTTTTCATGCAAATTGTTCAGTGCTGTTTTGTGTTTCTGGTTTATAAATTTACAAAAGCTTTACTGAGCCTTGGAAACCATGCTGCTCCTAAGGTCTTCCATTCAGCCTTTTGTTTTAGAGATTTATCTTGGTTGTTGGGTATATATCTAGTTAAGTGGTCCTCACAGTTGAGGAGTGTTCTATGAAATGCGTCCATTAAATCTTACTTATGTATCACTTTAGAGATAGACAGCCAGGTTGTCCCATGCTATTCTATACCATTAACAGCTCCAAGACTGTTACCCTTATAGGTGTCTTCTTACTGACCTATAGGAGATTGTTGCTTGCTGACCACACACTGAAGCACAATTGCTGAGTGTGTACAGGCCCACAACATCCCACCCAGGACCATCAGAGACAGGCCCACATACTGCCAGTACCACCAGAGACAGGCCCACATCTCACTAGGACCACCAGAGATAGGCCCACATTCTATCCAGGACCATTAGACGGCTCTCAGAAATGGTAGTAGGAGATCTGGTAGCATAGTGCCTGAGGCATTTGACTGCTAACCAGAAGGCTGGCAGTTCAAACCCACCAGCCACTCCTCAGAAGGAAGATTGGGCAATCTACTTCCGTAGTGATACTGCCTCAGAAACCTAAGGAGGGGTTGCTATGAGTCTGGTCCGACTCCGTGGCAAATAACAATAACAACAACAACAACAGGAATGGTAGTACCCATTACATTTTCCCCAACTTTCCATATATGTTCTCATTTCCCCACAGCTTCAAGTTGGGGAACTTCTAATTTTCATATTTTTGTCCAGATGATGGCTTTACAGTGATAGATGTTTCATTGTTGTTTAAATTTCATTTCTCTGACATCTAATGAGTTTGATTGTCACTTAATATGTTTGCTAGTAATTTAAGCTTCCCTTTCTTTATAACCTTTCACTACTTTTCTATTGGGTTTCATGCCTTGTTTCTTCATAATTTTGATTCAAGGATAGAAGTTCTTTCTGTCTAGTTATCAAACAATTGTCAGTTACACACTTTACCATGATCTTTTCTCCATCTGTCATATGTCAATAGCTTGTTTGACCAATACAAGGCCTTGATATTGATATTGTTAAATTAATCAGTTTTGCCCTTTTGGTTTGTCTGAGTTTTTAAAAGATGCTCTCCTTTACCCTAGAGTCATAAAGATTTTCAAAAATAAGATTTAAAGATCTTCCCTCCACCCCCAATATTTCTCTATATGTAGTCTGTCCAGGATATTAGGTATGGAGTCAGCTTTAGTATTTCCCCCCTTTTTTTGTGAGTCAATTTTTCTCACAATAGCAACTATAAAAACTCTACCTTTTTCCTACTAATAATGTGAAATCATTTCTACACCGAGGATGGATTAGTTTCTGAGCTATTTTGTTTCACTGGTGTATTTGTATTTTTCTGTTTTTCTATGGCTTGTTGTGGGTCTTGATATCTGACAGACTTCTAATCTTTCATACATATTTTAGAATCATTTTGTTGAATTTCTTTGAAAAACATCATAATATAATTTTGGTTGGAATTGCACTGAATTTAAATTGGTCCTGAAAAATTGACATATGTATAACATTAAGTTGTCTAATCCATGATCATGATAAATCTCACTTTTTTTTTAAATCACATCTCTTTTTATATCCTTCAACAGAACTGAAAGTTTTTCTTTTCATGGGTTTCATGCATTATTTTGTGAGGATAATTACTAGCTCTTTAATGGTTTTAGTTGGTATTGTAATATCTTATAGTCTATATTATTTTCTCTTTGGTTATTGCTAATGAGGAAAATAATTGATTTTCTTATTTTAATATATAGTTTTATTATTACATATTTTCTTCCTTTTGTTAATGTTTGATTAATATAGGTTGATTTTATGCCTTGTTACCTTGCTAAATTTTGCTATTAATTTCATTAGTTTTCTGTTGCTTTGTTAGCTTTTCTAGCTGGATGATTATATCAGCTTCCAATAATAGTTTATCTTTTTTCCTTTAATGTTTATATCTAATTCTCTTTTTGAATGTGTAATTTGGGATGCCCAGTATTGTATTGAGCAATACGGGTGACAGCTAGCATCCTTGTTTTGCCCCTGATCTTGAAGTGAGTATGTCTAAATTTTCTCCTTTGGAATGATTTAGCTGTAGATTTTTGATAAACGGTGTTTATCAAGTCCAAGAACTTTATCAAGTTCTTTACTTTTACTAGATTTCTGATATTTTAAAGAATCACAAGTAGAACATATCAAATGCTTTTTCTGCACCTATTAAATCTAAAATGTATCATAGTTTTCAATGAACTCTGGTGATGCAGTGGTTAAGGCATTCAGCTGCTAATCAAAAGGTCAGCTGTTCAAACCCACCAACTGCACCATGGGAGAAAGATGGGGTAGTCTGCTTCTGTAAAGATTTACAGCCTTGGAAACCCTATGGGGCAATTCTACTCTGTCCTATAGGGTCGCTATGAGTCAAATTGGCTCAATGGCAGTGGATGAGTGGGTATCATAATTTTCTCCTTCAATCCATTAGCATGGTGGATTACTTTAGCTTTTCTGATATCAACCATTCTTTTGTTAACAGATTAAACTGACAAGCCTTAATCCTCATCTATTAGTTTTTAAATACTCTGTTAGGTTGAGTGAATTAATATGCTATTTGGGATTTTTACATTTATATTCATAAGTAAAATAGTCCTGTAATTCTTTTCCCTGTACTTAACTTTTTCTGATTTTGAGATCGAGGATTTGGGCAGGTTTCTTTCACTGTGTATATTCTGAAGTAATTTATATGAAAGAGATTAATAGTTCCTTGAAAGTATGACTGAACTCACTCATAACTACATTCTTTTCCCCTCTTCTGATACAGCATTGGGGAGTGAATAACTGTATTTCCTGCCTTAAAAATTATTGCCCTTTTTATTCTTTCCAGAGATGAGTGTAAGATAGTGTCCCCTAGCTGGCCCCTGTGCTTGTCTCCACTATGTGACCCTTTTCTCTTTTGCTCCCCAGAACAGCTCTTGTCCCTACACAGGGTTGCAGTGGAAACGATGAGGTGTAGTTTGCCCTCCTTGGCTTGGAACACTGGGCTGACCCCAAGGCTTTCTGGGCAATGTCTTTACCTCTCTTTAAGGCTCTGGAGGAATTCACTGTCTTTCTGAGACTCAGTTTTGTCATCTGTGTAAGATAGCTTCTCAGTTCAAAATTCTGTGGGTAGAGGGGAACTATATAGCTCATGGTTACTGCCTGGACTCAACTCATCTGAGCTCTCTCCCACCCCTTTTCTCCGCCCAGAGAACCTGCCAAACAAGGCTGACAGGGACAAGTATGAGCTACTCTGCCCAGACAACACCCGGAAGCCAGTGGATCAGTACGAGACATGCCACTTAGGCAAAGTCCCTTCTCATGCTGTTGTGGCCCGAAGTGTGAATGGCAAGGAAGACTTGATCTGGGAGCTTCTCCGCCTGGCACAGGTATCCGCACCAACAGTCCTCTCCACTGCTTGGATTTGGGGAGGGGGTGGTCCTTCTTTCTCTAACTTACTGCCACTCTAGAAGGCCCTCAAGAACCTCATCAATGAAGGGTTCATTAGTACATTGGACCACTTGTGCCCAGCCTGTTCTCTAGACAGCAGAAACAATGAATGTCACCCTTCCATCTAGCATTGTTGACTGACAGTATCTCAGAGAGTTCCTCTCTGCCCTTTTCAAGTCTAGTTTCACTTTTCTACCTCACATCCTACAGCAAATCTTCTATGATGTCATGTGGAAGTGATTCCTCCTTCTTATTCCCGTCATCCCCATCAGAGACAGCCGGGAGGTGTCAGAAGGCTGAAGCCCTATGCATCTGGCCCTGTGTATCTACCTTGGTGCTGCCAGACCTCTCAGCTTCTGCTCTGCTGGGTGCTCTTGTGTTGCCCCCTCTGCTTCTGGGCCAGAGTGCTCCCTGGACTTGATCCTGCTTTGCAGCATCTGCAGCCCAGCAAGGACTGCCCTGGCCATGCATGTGGTGCTGGGGTCTTCCTGGGTTACATGGCATGGAAACCCAGCTGCTGTCTTGTAGAATATGGTAGGCACAGAGGAAACCATGTGTGTGGGGTTAGCTACCTTCCAGGGCAGAGAGGTAAGGACACTATCCAGTTCTGGCTTCAGAGAACTTTGAGAAAACTGAAAAACATCTGTATTCAGCCTGTGTAGGCCTTAGGGAGTGGGAAACTACTGAGGTGCTTCATAGTCTTCCTCCCCCATTACTGTCAAATGCATCCTCAGTTAGCGGGAGTAGAAGCAGGGAGAGGAGGAGGCAGTATTCTCAGGATGCTTAGGTGCTTAGACCCCAGCAAATTTCCAAAGAATAAGCCATTGATGAGTTCATGACACAGGGATAACATGAGTCACTCTCTGGAAGGGTGTCAACTGAGGTTCCAGATACTCTTTTTTCAACATTGTTTTATATTTCCTCCCTGTTTGCCATAAACACATTGCCATAAATTCATTATGACTCAGCCATCCTATAGGATAAGGTAGAACTCCCCTATAGGGTTTCCAAGGCTATAAATCTTTACAGAAGCAGACTGCCTCATCCCTCTCCTATGGAACTGCTGGAGGGTTTGAATTGCTACCCTTTTGGTTAGCAGACAAATGCATTAACCACTGGGACACCAGAGCTCCTTCTGATATATGTGTGTGTGTGTGTGTGTGTATCTATCTATCTATCTATCTGTCTATCTATCTATCCACACCAGAAACCAAACTCACTGCTATCAAGTCAGTTCTAACTCATAGTGACCCCCATTGGGTTTCCAAGGCTATAAATCTTTATGGAATCAGACTGCCCATCTTTCTTCTTCAGAGTGGTTGGTGAGTTTGAACCACTGACCTTTTAGTTAGCAACCAAATGCCTTAACCACTGTACCACTAGAGTGCCTTTTTCTGTTTACCATAAACACTTACAATACTATATTCCCTTAATCAGGAAAAGTTTGGAAAGGGGAAAGCATCAGTGTTCCAGCTCTTTGCTTCCCCTCCTGAGAAGAAGGACCTGCTGTTCAAGGACTCTACACTCAGACTTTCAAGGATCCCCCCCAAGATAGATGTTGGACTGTACCTTGGCTTCGGCTACTTCACTGCTCTCCAGAACCTGAGGAAAAGTGAGTGAGGACTGGGAAGTGTAGGGGAGGCAGGGGGCAGGGAAGGCCCTCCCAGGGCACACCTAACACCTGCTCACTTGTGGCTAGGGTGGTTGGTGGTGGTCACTCTTTGGTTTCCTGGCCAATGAGAGCTCTTTACCTTGGTGGGTTTGATGCTGGTCCCAGTGTCTTCTGTCAAAGTCACTCAGGACATTTTAAAAGCATCATGAGAGGCGTCTCCAGAGAAATGTCCCAGCTACCCATTAATGCTGGGATATGTCCTTGTGCACATCAGGGTCCCCAGCCCTGATAGAAAAACCCACTTTTCTCCTATGAACATGAAGTGACACAGCCAGAGTCCTCCTGTGATGAATTCAGGGACCTCCCTTTCCCCCAGGGCCCTGGGCTTGCTTTGGATAAAGTACCACAGTGAGGAACTCAGCCATGGCTATCTTTCTATTGGATGGTCTGGGGTGGAAGTCTAGGTGAACACGAGATTGCATTATAGTTCCTGGGGGTGACTGGGGGCTTCAGGGGAGGTGGCACAGGAGTGCCAGGTGCTATGGGTACTGCCACTGGTCCCATGTTATACAGCTTTCTTCTTGTGGGACAGAGACTTTATAGCTAAATCATTATTCCGAGATTGAGAGATGGATTAGAAGCCAGAGGAGGTTTCAGAGGGAACAGAAGTGAAAAACCCAACTGAAGAAGAGTTTGAGGGGTTGAGTACTGGAAGAGGAAAGGGGCGGTGTCTTGACTCCCCACATTGGCAGAAATGGCTCCCTAGTCCGTCTGCTGGAGGGTGTAGGGTCTAGGGTCTAGGCAGGAAAGAGCAATCTAAGTGGGGTTGGACTCTGCAGAGATTGAAAGGGGTGGCTCCTCCCATTGTCAGATTCCTGCCAACCTGGCTTTCCTCCCTCTCTGCAGGGGCGGCGACAGTGGCCGCCCGGCGCACACGAGTGGTGTGGTGTGCCGTGGGCACCGAGGAGCTGCGCAAGTGCAGGCAATGGAGCCGCCAGAGCAGAGGGAAAGTGACTTGCGCCTCGGCCTCCACCACCGAGGACTGCATCGCCCTGGTCATGGTAGGCAGTCGGCTAGGGGCGGAGCTAGGCAGGGGCATAAAGATGCAGAGCACCAGGGTCGGACAGCGCCTTTGTCACGTGGTAAAGGCAATGTGAGGCCCACCCAGCTGGGGGTCGGGCTCCTCAAAAGGACCAATGGGCATGGGCTTCTTCTTAAAGGTGAAGTTGGGAGCTCCACAGTAGGCGGGAATTGCTGGAGAGAGTCTGCCAGTACAGGTTGTGCAAACAGTCAGTTTTATATTTAAAAAACTGTTTATAGTGAGTTTTCCACTCCTCTAAGTATAAGAACAACTCACCATTATTACAGGTAATTTAGAATTTATAGAGAGAGATAACATAAAACAATAAAATCTACTTGTGGTTAAGGCATTTGGCTGCTAACCCAAAGGTCGGTGGTTTGAACCCACTAGCCACTCTGCAGAAGAAAGATGAGGCAGTCTGCTCCTGTAAAGGTTTACAGCCTTGGAAATCCAGTGGAAGTCACTATGAGTCAGATTCAACTCCATGGCAATGAGTTTGGTTTCTTGGTTTTATGATTTCTCAAAGAGAGATGATGTTGTTAGTTGCCATTGAGTTGATTCTGGCTCATGGCAGCCACATATGCATAGAGTAGAACTGCTCTATAGGGTTTTCTTGGCTGTAATCTTTATGCAAGCAGATCGCCAAGTCTTTTTCTTCCATGGTATCACTGGGTGGATTTGAACTGCCAACCTTTAGGTTGGCACACACTTTCACAGAGAGATACATGAAGTTTGCAGTTTTGGTAATTTTTTACCCTCAGGTTCCAGTGTACATCTATGAACATGCAGGCAACTATAATGGTTCAGATGAGTTATGTAGTTTTTGAGTCCTTCTTTACTTACCAGTATATCATGGGCATTTCCCCACATTAATACATATTCTTCAAACACACACACACACACACACACAAAATCATTTCAGGATATCTTTTATGCTGATGTGTCTCAGTTTAGTCAAGGCCCTACTCCACTTTGTCCCTCTTATTCTGCTGTTATCAATAACTGTGATGAGGCATCCTTGAAGAGAAATCTTTGTCCACATTACCACTTATTTTTAATATAGTTGTAAAAAAGTTATTACTGGGTCAGAGAGGGAGTTTTGCAATCTTGATCAATCTATGTCCTTTCCAGTGTTTCAGCCTTCAGGGTGGGCTTGTTTACTCCAATGGTGAGTGTATTCATTTCCTAGGGCAGCTGTAACAAAGTACCACCAACTGGGTAGCTTACTTATAAGGACAAATTTATTGCCTCACAGTTCTAAAGGTGAGAAGCCCAAATCAGGGCATCACCATGTTGATTCCTTCAGAGGGCACTGAACGAGCATCTATTCCATGGCTCTCTCCTAACTTTCTGGTGATGTTTGGCAAGTCTTGGCTTGTAGACCATGTCAGTCTCTACTTCTGTCTTCCCATGGCCATCTTCCTTCTGTGTGTTTCTCTGGGTCTCTTTTCTTTTTTAAGGGCACTACTCTTAGTGGAGTAGGTAGGACTCACCCTTCTCCGGTATGAAGTTGTGTTAGCTGATTACATCTTCAAAGCCCTTGTTTCCAAACAAGGTCGCATTCACAAGTTCAGGGGGTTAGGACTTGAACATGTATTTTTAGGGAACACAACTAAATCTGTAATAACGAATTAAGTTAATCATTTCTGCTCATGTATTGAGCAACCCTTTCTAGTACTGTGAGTGTAGAGCTAATGAGTGGAGACTAGTCAAAGCCAGATGTTGCTATCTGTCTCCTCAGTGAGGGAGGCTGGTCCAGGAGGACATCCTCAGTGTGCCGGCCACAGAAAGGGTTTTGTTCTTGGGACACAGGATTAGTGCAACTTGTGTCTGGTGTTTCACTCCAATTGCGGGGCTGGTAGAGAATTAATAATGCACATGGTGTTTCCTTTGGGTGCTCAGTTAAAACAACCCCTCTCTCTTTCTGTGCTCTAGGACATAGACATGTCATAGAGCCAGTCTCAGAGAGCTGTGAAGACAGGCTCACTGTGGAGGCTGGGGATTTGCTTTGTCTTTGCAGAAAGGAGATGCTGATGCCCTGAGCTTGGATGGAGGTTTCATCTACACGGCGGGCAAGTGTGGTTTGGTGCCTGTCCTGGCAGAGAATGCCAGTAAGTGGAGGGAGCAGCCTCTCTGGTTTTATTCCCTCTGGTCTATGGGGGTGGGACAGGGAGGATGTTCAGATGCATGGATACATTCAAACAGAAGAATCAAGGGAAAGGATTCATGAAACGGTGTGTGTTACCCATCTATCTATTCCACTGAGAACTGATTTAGCACAGATTAGTTTCCTCTGCTTATTTTAGAACAAGTTTTAGTGCAGCATAACAGATACAGAAAAGTGCATTAAGTGCACTCAGTGACATTTCTGGCTGTACTCCTGTTCTGTTACCTAGTGCCACTCTGACAAGAAATATACCACAAATGGGATGGCCTTAACAAACAGGAGTTTATTCTCTTACAGGTTGGAGGCTTTAAGTCTGAGTTCAAAGTGCCAGGCTCTAGAGGCTGGGTGAAAGCCCCTCAACCTTGGGGCCCAGCTCTGCCTCCTGCTCCCGGCCCACAGGAGCTAGAGGCATTTCTTCACTCAGACAGCTGCTGGCTGCTGAGGCTGAGAAACTCCAAGGTTGACAAGTAAAAAGGCACAGTCCTGATGTTACCAAACCACATGGCAGGCCATTAATTTAAGTCCATTGTAAGTCCCAAGGTCGGCAGAGCATAGCAGGCTGCTGAACAACAACATGGCTACATGCAGGGTCTAAGTGTGCCATAGGCTAGAGACAATTGCCTAAGGCTTCTCCTTATATACAGGAAGCAGACCACATCCCCAAGGCAGCTACTCAGCTGCTTGTGGTAGATCCTGCCATAGAGTTAATTGCCAGTCTCATCGTGGGGAATAACTACCACCAGCTGCCCAGCCACTCAACCAGGTCCAGCCAAGTTGACACACAAACATAACTACCACAACTCTCCTATGTAATTAGTGCCCACATCAAGACACAGAATGTTTCAGAAATCACCTTTGGCCTTCTTGTCACTACCACATCCTGCCAAAGGGAACCATCACCCTGACTTCTAACAGCACGGATCAGCTCTCTGCCTATTTGTGAATTGTATGTGAAAAGAGCCACACAGCATGTAGTTTTTTGTGTGTTTAGCCCACTCAGCATTATGTTTGTGTGATTCATACCTGTGAGCCTGTAGTTTTACAACATCTAATCCCTTTGTATAGAATTCTGCTGTGTGACTCTACTGCAATTATTTATCCGTTCTGCTGTCAATGGGTTTTAGGGTAATTTTCAGTCACAGCTGCCTTAGTTTCTTAGTGCTGCATTAACAGAAGTACCACAAGTGAGTGGCTTTAATGAGCAGAGATTTATTTTCTCAAAGTTCAGGAGGCTAGATGTCTGAATTCAGGGTTCCGGCTCTAAGGGAAGGCTTTCTCTGTTTGCTCTAAGGGGGAAAGTCCTTACCTCTTTTCAATTTCTATTCCTAGGTTGCTTGAAGATCATGTACTACGTGGCTTCCTTGCTTATTTGCTTAGTCTGCTCCTTTACGTCTAAAAAGAGATTGACTTAAGACACACTCATGCTAATACTATCTCATTAACATAATAGAGAAAATCCATTCCTAAGTGGGATTATAATCACAAGTATGAGGGTTACTATTTACAACCCATATTTTTTTTTATTAGGATTTGGGTGAAGATTTACAGAGTAAATTCACTTTTCATACAGCAGTTCACATATACTTTGTCTCATGTCATT